GAACAACTTGTCAATAATGGATCACAAGAAAAGGCCATTATATTTGGCAGAGGGTCAGCAAACATGAGAGTACCCTTTCATAGGATGAACCGGCACGATGGCTACAATGGGCTCAACGTAAAGGCTGTGAGATGGTACAGGATGGCAAGGAACAATAGTAACAGAACATTAGTAATAATAAAGGAAAGTGTTTAAAAGATCACCAGTTATTCAATTATACCCAGTAGACTACAAACTCAACCCAATTCAATCCAACTTGTCTCAGGAGTTTTAGAGAGCGATGGCAAGCTTTTTTCTAAAAGGTTGTAATCACAACCTCAAAGGCAGGTGCTGGTACTTCTACTGGTCAAAAAGGCAAACATAATCGACAACCAGGAGACAATAAAACAGATGAAAATAGAAAAATGAGACCTTCTAAGAAAATACTCTTTAACTGAAATATTGCTGATTAAATGTCATTCTCCAAAGTCCCCTTACCCATAGATCTTTGAGAGAGCTAGCTACCTATCAGTTTTTAAAAGGAGATTTTCATAGATTATTCAGATTATTTTGTGGTCCTCAGAATTCAATGTGTTGGATATTCTGGTCCTAAATAAATGTCCACCTTTTGGGGGGAACCTTTTGCACTAATGTGTATGTCTTTTATCCTACATTTACAGGTGCCACTTACATCCTGGGCCACAGAAATAACATAGGAGATAACACAACCTCAAACACTGGAGCATGAGACCCTTGACCATACAAACATTGTCATTGATAATTTACTGTTGGAGGTGAATGAATAACCACATTAAAGAGCAAGAAAACATGGGGGGGGAAAGTGTTATCATGTAAAACTTAGAAAAGTGGAGCGTTTAATGATAGTTATAATTCATATCTTTCCAAATAACTCATCAGGGGTGGTCAAGAGCTCATTACATGACTCCAATTATGTTCTTATGCTAGAAAACAAAGTTTTTCTAAGTTGGAGAACTTAAAAGAAAGGTACTTAGTGGGACAGGAAACTGCTTGATAGTTCCTGGAGAAAGAGAATTTGAATTTTAGGAAGAATGTCTCTACAAGTAGGAGTAAGAAAGAGCCATATGAGAGCCAGAGAAGAGCAGTCAGAAAAGAGGACGGAAGGGAAGGGAAACCCATAGGCTCTGAGGGAGAAGCTGGGGTTCGAAACAGAAATGCTGCAGAGGAGTGAAGAGTGCTGAGTGCAGTGCTATGGTGTGCAGGTTTCAGAATAAGAACATCACCTGTGAAACTGAAGGCTGACTCAGTACAGCAGTGCAGGAAAAGGCTTAATAATACCACAACCCTGACCCTGGTCGAGATGCCACAGACCTGGTAGTGACTGACTGATTGCAAGAGTTAAAGAGTAACAGACTTTGTTGGTAAAGCCGGCAAGAAAACAATGGAGGTGGGAGGACAAACAGGGCGAAGAAGACTTAACTGAAGAACAGGGTGAACCAAGCACAGTCATAGGAAACTCAGGGGACACGGAATACTCAAGAATACAAAGGGGACAACAGGCCTGGGGATGCTGACAGTGAGTGAGTAAAGACTCATATTTTTTGGAAGGAGAAGCCAAGGAGAGAAAGAGACACTATCTGAAAAGTCCTTGAGGCAGAAAGTGGTTGAGGACTTGGTAGACAGAGGTCTCAGGTCTTCTTGGCTGGTTCCTACATTTTTTTTTTTAAATTTAGGTTGTTTATTTTTCATTTCAATGATGGTTCCTACATTTTTAAGAACGGAAATAATATGTACTCTGCAGAGTTTTCATGGGAATTAAAAAGAGCGAGCTCTGCTGGCCTACTGGCAAGAAGATGTGTTATATAACCCTGAAGGCACGCAGGTTTGAATCCACCAGCTGCTCCACGGGAGGATGGGCAACCTCTTCCCATGCAATTAACTGCCTCTGAAAACCTGCTGAGGGTCAGCTACGGGTTGATTCCGACTCGATGGTACACAACAATATAGTTGGTTCCCTCAGCAGAGTGCCTTATAGCTGGGATCCCTCACTAATGCAGCCTTTATTATTCTTAATACAGAAAACTGATAGTGGGGCTTTGAAGTGAGGGAGGAGCCAATTTAGGGGTGAGAGTATGGGATGGGGGAGAGCCCACAAAGGCTAATCAACTTGTTCTAGAAAAAAAAAAGAGAAAGGGAATGTATTAAGGAAGAAGGAAAGAAGACATTCTTCTCACTCTCCCCAGGCAGGAAGCTAAGAGGTGTGAGTAAACAATCATCTCCCTGTCCCCGACTGACTTCTCTTCAGAGATTGAAATGGTAAGAGCAAATATGAGCTAATAAATAGGTAAATATCTCTGAGAAAGTATATGGGCAGAAGCTACCAGTATTTCATACTTTAGCCAACATTACTGTTGTTACGTACCAGTGAGTCAGAACGTACCCATAACTGACCCCTCAGTAGGTTTTCAGAGGAAGTAAACTGCATAGGAGGAGACTGCCTAACTTTCTCCCGTAGAGCAGCTGATGGATTCGAACCAGGTTCCTTCACATTAGCAATGCAGGTCCTTAACCACTAGCCACCAAAGTTTCCCTCTTGAGGCATTATAAAAGCTGGCCAAGATGCTGAGGGTGCAATGACCTGAGGAGACAGACAAGGCACCCAGTGTCATCCAACAATGAGGGAATGAGGGCAGGCTACTGCTTCAGGGACCCCCCCCCCCCCAGGAAGTAGTAAGTGTGGCAAACCATAAGAGATGGAACAAAGAACATAAAGGGAGCTGGGGAGACAGTGACATAAGAGGGGGCACAGGAGAGGCAGCAACAAGAGCAAATAGGTGGGTGTTGACACAGGAAGGTAGAGGGTTGCTTATTATATAAAGGAGGGTTGGAAATAGCTTAGATGACCTGTGAGACAATATAGCAAGAAGTCTGTCATTAGGTTTACAGAATTCCTTCATGGTCTCTGGGTTTTCTTTCCCCCTCTTCCCTTAACCTACGGAGCTCTGGTGGCTTGCTCTTGTTAAATGTCACTGAGTTGAGTATAACTCATGGAGACTCTATGAACTGTAGATCTGAGCTCTGTCCTATCTTGGTTACTGTCTGTCATTTATAGGGTTGTTATGAGTTGTAGAGAAAGCTCTGGTAGCCTAGTGGTAAGGACTAGCACTGTTAACCCAAAGGCGTGTGGTTCAAATCCACTAACTGCTCTGCCAGAGAAAGGTGGGCAATCTCCTCCTGTGCGATTAAGTGCCTCTGAAAACTTGCTTGAGGAGCAGCTAAGGGTTGGTTCTGGGTCAATAGTACACAACAAACAACAAAATGAAAACCTACCACCACCACCACTGCTAATGGCCACAAAGAAGTGAGCTGAGCTGAGGGAAGAGATGTCACAAAGGGACAAGAGACAAGCACCTTTCTCTAGGCCTGAGTGACAAAGGACAGCCTTCTCCAAGAGCCTGCAATTGGACTTCCGAACTGTGAAAAAGAAATTGGCTTGTTAAAGGCCGAAGAAAACAAACAAAAGACCTCCCAAGACTCCAAAAGCACACTCAATTTCCAACCTATTCAGAGAAGATAAAGCACTACTCTTTCTTTGTGGAAGTTAATGATTAAAACCTAGTTTGATGTCAAGCATCTTAACATAGTTACTAATTAAGCCAATCTCAGTGAGAGAAATCTATATACCTTCAAACTGTAGTAGTGTAAATGGCACAACTATAATATTTCAAGTACATGTAAAAATATTGCACAATACTTTAACCTCTGTAGCTTTATCGCTTCTCTTTAGTCCACGCCACATGCTGGGCCCTTGATAAAACATTTTTGTAACTATTGTGGGGAGGGATTTAACTCAAATAACTTCACTTAGTGTTTGAGTGAATGAGGTAATAAAATCTGTTAGCTGTGTTCGCTGTCTCCAGTTAGGGCTGTAATTACACCACATAAGGAAGAAAGGTAGCTGAGTCTCAATCTAGATCATTTATGTAAACTCAGCCCTCTTGTCAACGGTGCTCTCATATTGCATGCATGCAAACCACAGAAATCATCTCCTATGAACCACACAGAGACAGTGTCCGATTGCAGTGCTGTGAGCTTGCTTATACTCTTTCTGTAATTGGATGTCTGTGGTTCAAAACTCAAACATGACATTCTGAGGTTAAAAGAATAAAAAAAACCCACTCACCAATGAATTCCTCAGTTCAACAATTAGATGACTTAAACCTGTGAATACTGAAGGTATTCTATAAACCAATGTATTAACAAATGAACACATTTCATTGGAAAAGTGTAACTTGTCCAATTAAAAAGAAAGGTTCTTTGAAATGGTATGTTGGAAAAATATTTGGTCTTTAAGAAAGAAAAGCAAGTGAGTTCCAAATACACCCAAGGTAACATTTGATGGCATTTTAATCTCCTATTTGAAATATCTGGCATTTCCCTCTAGTAGTTTCCCCTAAACAAAAATCTTACAAAACCCAGAAAGCATAAACTACATTCACATTGGATCTATAAATAGCACAGAGGCATAACTGCACAAAGACAAAGCACATTTCTTTTGAGTTCATTGGACTATCTTTTGTCATGACAAATTGGTCACTCCTTTTTTGATCTGGCAGTCCTCTCTGGCTGGTAGTAATAGTGTTTCTCTTGACACCTGCAGCTTCCAGCTTGCTCTGTCTTCTGAAGGAAAACCACAGGCCACCGCCCTGGCGCCATCCTTGCTCAGTCCAATCAATAAGGACTTATTTCCTGTCCATTTGCTGAGGTCACAGGAGCAAATCTCATTAATTATTTCTGCTACCGCAGCCTCAAGTGTGCTTCTGGCGTGACAACTGAAAGCAGCTTGACCTTTTTTCTTCTAATTTTGTTTGTAGCAGTTCCCAAAAGAAGGCAGCATTCATTTAGGAAGGGGGGTGGGTGGTGGAGAATAAACTGTTCAAATCATTAAAACATTTAGGTATTTCATCACCAAAGCTCTCCTGATCATCTTCAGTCCCTAGTTTTTCCCAGCAACTGAACAATAGGGTCTTTTTAATTTGGTGTCACGAAAATCTGGTCACGGCAAACACAATGTTTTCTAAAGCAGATCTGGCCTCCGAGGGAGGAAAGCTCTCCAGGGCCTCCAGTGCTTTGTTTCCATGGTAACGACACAGGTCAATAGCTGAAGTCACACCTTTGCCAGCTTTGATTGTTGCTCGCAACTGTTAAGAAACAAATGCAGAATAAAAGTCAGTTTTTAAGGTATGCAGTAAGCACCACAATTAAACTGGGGAGGGGAGGGGATGTGGGGAAAACAAAGGAGGAAGGAAACTGTATCGATTCATGGCTTCCCCAGTGTTATTTCTGAGGTAAAGAGGACATCATCTCCAAAAGCTCTCGAGGCCCCAGCATTCCCTAAGGCTGCTGGATGTCTGCACGCCACAGCAGCACAATAGGCCCCAATCAGTCTAATTACACCTCCTCCCACTGCCACCTCTTGATATCTTGAAATGTGCCACACTGGGGGATGGCTGTGATCAAGGCGGAGGGCATCTGCATCTATGGCATTTTGAATTCAGCAGACTGAAATTTTATGCGTGGAAGGCTTCACTAACATCCCAAGTAGTCACTAAAAAACAAAACAAACCCCCAAACCAACCTCCTGCAAAATCCACTATATGCTGACACAATAGTCTGTAAGAAAATTTAAGAAAGACACATATATTGGATCCGAAAGCTGCATTTTAAAAATGGAAAGAGTTTGGCAAGAAGAATGAACTAAAACAAAGATTAAGAGTCTCACCAACAAACAGAATTCTGCTCATATTCGATGGAGGAAGATCCATGAAAGGGATATATTTTTGAGTTGGAAAGTTATCTGCTTTCCCTCACCCCGATCTCTCCCAGTGTGATTTACTGCCTCTGAAATCCCACTGGAGGGTCAGCTTTGAGTTGATTCTGACTTGATGGTGCACAACAATAACAACAATTTCTTAGTGACGCCTCATCCATAAGGAAAACCTGGGAGTCCTTGATCTCACTTCTGGTCAGGGATCACGGCAGGGCAAGTGTTGCCTGCCCGCTCGCATCTGAACTTTCCCACCCCGTGGGGTTTGGTGGTGTGCTGTCTGATACGTTCTTGTTCACGAGTTGGGAACCACACATGCCACTTCTGGGCTGCAGCATTTTACTGCCAATCTGAGACCCTCTAAGCTTGCTCCCTGGCATGTCAACCAGACTGCTGGAGAAGTTTTTCCCTCAGCTTGGCTTCTTGAATGGCTATGGAGTATGATGAATGCCTCTCTGACCTGCAATAACACAAAATGTGGACAAGAAAGAAATTGCTGTTGTTTTAAGCCACTGAAATGGTGGAGTTCTAAATCGTCTTGATTTAAACAGTCACTAAATTCTAGCCGTTCTATTTCCTTTATCAAAAACTCATTGTTAAAAAAACCCCAACCCAACCAAAAACCAAAACCAGAACAAACCAACCCCTCACTGTTGTTGACTCATTACTGACCCTTCTAATGAGTTTTATCTTCTACTCTCATTTACTTTAGTTCATGCTATCTTTTCTCTGGATTAATTTTCACAATGACTTCTTTTTTTGTGTGTTTGTACAGTCAAGTCAGATCCAACTGGCACAGGAGGAGATTGCCCCTTCTTCTCCAGCGGAGCATCTGGTGGATTGAAACTGCAACCCAATCACTTCTTATAGTCTTTCCACCAATAGCTCTGTGCCCTTGAACACCATCCACAATGCTGCTGGGAGATCTTCATAAAAAAAGATGCAAATACAGTCTTGCTTTAAAACCTACATTGCCTCTCAATAGTCTTAAGAAAAATGTCCAAGCTCCTTAGTGAGACACAGAAATCTTTTTCCAATCTAGCTCTTCTCCAATCTTGTTTTTCTTCCTTTCATCAAGTATTCAGGGGAATTACCTCCAAGTCCCAGAGGTAATATGCCATCTCCTGCTGCCCTACCTCAACCTTGATAAGACTACCAAATTTTCTAGCTAACAATCAATTCAGAAGACGGGTCCCTAAGAGCTAGATAGCACACATTTTTCCTGGCTCTCAGAGAATCCTATGCATAAACAGAATATAACATTATTATATAATGCGGTATTTAAGTCTTAAAATTATTTATTTACTTCATAAAACCTTAAACTACTGCATAATTCATAATGCATGAATATATTTAGGAAATAACTTGGTTATTTCTGGAAAAGAGAGATTCAGAGAGGTTCAATGATTCATCAAGATCATAAATGAATAGTGGTAGAGCTGACATCAGAAGCTAGGTTTTCTATCCAGGTAATTAATACTCTATGGCTCTTGGCACTTAACAGATAATTCCACACTGCACACCAGCTTTGGGGGACCATTTTAGCCTGATGTTGTTATGTACCATCAAGTTGACTACGACTCAGCTACAACCCTATGAACAAAGGCTCTGAACCTTGCCCTATCCTGACCAACTTCACCATCTCTGACATATCTGATCCTATTGCTACAATCACTGTCAATCCATCTCTTCCTTTTCTCTGGCCCTTTTGACAACATGCCCAAAGTATGTGAGATGGAGCTTCAAACTACCTTGCTTCAAAGGAGTAACCTGGTATCATCCTCTTCAGGACAGATCTGTTTGTCCTCTTGGCATTCCATGGTATGTAATAATCTTTGCTCAACTCAAAGGCATCACTTCTTTTACATTTAAAATTTTTTTTTAATTGTAAAGATAAACATGATAGTTGCAAAGAACTTAGAATTGAAAATGATGCAACATAAGAAATCTCCTGTGTTTGGTATAAAAAAATAATCCCTATTAGAAGATGTATTTCATTCAGAGAAGGAAATGGCCTATAAGTATATGATATACATACATGCACTTTTTTAATGGCTTTGCTTACAAAGTTTGGTATACATTGATACATTGCATTTCACACTATTCTTCATTCACTGTGTTTTATACAATCATTCTCACGCATCATATTTCATAAAATCAATCACCATTGGACTTTGCCCATCATTACCGTCTTTTTGCCCAGAACCTTCCCCTTTCCTTGCCCCCTCACTCCACCCACCAAACTGTGCAAACCTGTGGTTTTACCCCTACCTGTCCTCACACTTCTACTCCCACCCCTCCACCCTTCTTAAGTACATATTTTAATAGTTATCCTTCTATTTTTATAATAATGGTCTTATGCAATATTTGTTCTTATGAGACTATGTTAGTTCACTCAGCATAATGCTCTCCAGCCTTTCTCAAGCATGTAGTATTTTTTAAAATCATTGTTCCTGCGTGCTGCATAGTACTCCATCATGTGAACGTACCACAATTTTTTTTAAATTTTATTAATTTTTGTCCATGTACCGTCAAATCAGATCGACTGGTACAGGAGGAGATTGCCCCTTCTCCTCCAGCAGAGCATCTGGTGGATTCAAACCATGCACCTCTGGGACTGCAGTGTATCATAATTTCTTAATCCACTTGGTTGTGGCTGGACATTTAGGCTGTTTCCATGTTCTTGCAATGGTGAGTAATGCCGCTATGAACAGTGGTGTACAAATCTCTGTTTGTGTCTTACTTCTAACTTCCCTTGGGTATATATATTCCTAGTAGTAGAACAGCTGGGTCATATGGGCTTCTATGTTCAACTTTTTGAGTAAACACTAAACTGTCTTCCAGAATGGCTGCACCATTTTACAATCCCACCAACAGTGTATGAGAGTTCCCACCTCTCCAACATTTATTGCTTGCTGCCCTATTAAATTTTGCCACAGCTTCTGGGATGCGATGGTATCTAATTGTGGTTTTGATTTGCATCTATCTCTCTTATTGTCAGTGATTTTGAGCATTTCTTCATGTGTCTGTTGGCTGTCCAAATATTTCCCTCTTCTCATGTCTTTGCCTATTTTGTAATTGGGATATCAGTCTTTTTATTCTGTAGGCCCAGGAGTATTCGGAAAACTTTTGTATGAGAACCTTGTCTGGGATGCTATTGCCAAATGCTTGTTCTCTGTTAGTAGGCTTTCTTTTTACCCTGTTGAAAAAAGTTTTTGATGCACACGTGGGTTTCATCTTTAGAAGGTCCCATTCATCAATTTTATCCTCTTTAGATTGTGCATTTCTATCCGTATTTGGCAGTCTCTTTTTATCACAGACTAGGCTTTCTAAGCTTGGTCCCAGTTTGTCTCTTATGAACTTTATAGTTTTGGGCTTTACTCCCAGGTCTCTGATACACCTTGAGGTGATTTTTGTGTATGGTGTGAGATGTGAATCCTGTTTCAGCTTTCTGCAGGTAGCAGTCCAGTTCTGCTAGAATCATTTGTTGAAGAGGCTGTCATTTCCCCATTTGATAGGTTTTATTTCCTTGTCGAATACTAGTTAACCATAGATAGAAGAGTCCATTTCTGGGTTCTCAATTCTCTTCCATTGTTCCAAGCACCTGTCATTGTACCAGTACCATGCTGTTTTGGTTATTACCGCTGTGTAATAGGTTTTGAGGCTGGGGAGTGTTATGCCTCTCACTTAATTTTTGTTTTTCAAAAGCGCTTTGCTTATTTGGGGTCTCTTTCCTCTCTGAATAAATTTGAAAAATTCCCTTTTGATCTTGAAAAATGAATTTTGTATCTGTATTGGAATTGTGTTGAATATGTAGATTGCTTTTGGTAGGACTGTTATTTTCAAAATATTGAATCTTCCTATCCATGAACAGGGCACCTTTCCCCATTATTTAGGTCTTTTATTTTGTCTTGCAGAAATGTTCTGTAGTTTTCTTTGTACATCTGTTATCCTTAGTCACTATTCAGCTCTCAGATGCATAGCAAGCCAATTGAGAAGACCATGGTCGGGATAACACCTTAGTCTCTACACTGACATCATTGCTCTTTTGTATTCTGGAGAGGTAACTGAGCGTAGATTTTTTCCAAAGTATCTCAACTTTTAGTTTCCTGATTGCTAGTGCCAACAATGTTCATTGTGGATCCAAGCAAGGTGAAACTGTTAATCTCAAATGCCTCTCCCCTGTCATGATACTGCCAATTGGCCTGGTGGGATGCTCTTTAAAGACAGACTGTAATACAACTACATTAAAATGTAAGTGTATGGAACTAGTCAATCTTTGGAAATGAGGGAGGAGGGGGTCTATGAGATGGGATGAGGCTGGAATAGTGTCCAAATAGTTTTAGGAAAAGAGGAGGCTACAGTCACTTCTCT